TTTTCTTCTTCTTCTTCTTCTTCTTCTTCTTCTTCTTCTTCTTCTTCTTCTTTATTTTTCATATTCGTCTTCTTCTTTCATTCTCTTCTTCTATTTCTTCCTCTATGGAAGGCTAATATGTAACATTCTCGAACTCAGTATTAACACACCATTGAGGTTTGTTCATTTCAATGTATCTTCGTGTTCTAATCCTTCTTGTCTCAATGCTTAATGGTTTCTTGTTCAACTGGATTGAATGGCTCTGCTCATGGTTTGCGTAATCCCATGAATAAAGATAGGAATGTATGCTAATGCTTCATTTGTATACATTTGATAATGGTAATAACGCTTAGTGATTATTAGAAAATGAACCAAGGTTTAGATCAATAAGAGATAATATTTCGAACCAATGAAATGGGTGTTGAGACTGAGTTGGAGAATGTACTGTTTATTGAATCACTGTTTCATTGTTTTATTTAAATCTGAAACCCCCCAGGTTGTGTTTGTTTGGTTGTATTACACGAACTTTGGGTTGGCTTGTTGCTCCTTGAGAGACGACCTAGGAGTCACTTCCTAGTACTACTATTCTGACTTTGTTTTGACTGATGTTGATTATAAGATGATGCAAGATGTTCCACAAGACAGAAATGGTGTCCGGCTCTCTGCTGTGCAAGGATATATGACAAATTTTTACAGGTTACTGCCTATGCTATCAACATATATCTCATCCCAGATAGAATGTCATCTGAACTCATGTTTGAAACATGATCAGGAAATATGGATCATATGTAGCTAGACATCCAATTATGGTGTTGCTTTCATCTTTGGCTGTAGTTCTTCTCCTCTGTCTAGGTCTAATTCGATTCAAGGTGGAGACACGACCTGAGAAGGTAAATATCACAATTGTTTCTACTTTGCTGTTTCAGTTGCTATAGATTGGTTAATTTTCTTAAATGGTTGGCAGTTTTTTGTTTCTGGACATAATTTGAAAATGAAGTTTGCTTTTGTTTTGATCATCCAACTGTGCTTGATTTGATACACATTATTTTATGGAAGAAAATAAAGTTGGCAACATGATAATTGTGTTAATACTTAATAGGGGAAAATTGTCCACTGTATCAAGAATAAGAAATCTAATGAACAATAGAAATCTTCGATTCAAATGGAATTGGGGGGGTGGGGGATCATGGAATATTGTTCTGGCTAGAGCATAAATAAGTATTACAATTTTGAAGTCTAATGCAATAAAAAATACATAGTTTGGGAAGTAGCTTTAACTATTAACATTGTTATCATATGTTGTCATTTTTAATATCTAGGCTACTTGATACCTGAATATTTCTTTACATTAGTCGGATTTGGCAAAATAACTTCCTACACTTTTTAGCTCTGGGTAGGACCTGGGAGTAAAGCAGCACAAGAGAAGCAGTTTTTTGACAGTCATCTTGCTCCATTTTACAGAATTGAACAGGTTCTTGTTTTAACCTTTCTCTCTCTCCCCCCCAATTCTTCCCCCACACAGATGGTGGCATGAAGTTCATTACCTGTACAATATGCAACAACTCTACCATGGGAATGTTTTGCTGATTTAATTTTATTCAGTTACTTCTTTTCTTATCTTATGCAAAAAAAAGTATATTTGTAATTTATTTTGCTTTTAGTTTCCTTACTTGTTTGTTTTTAAGGAAAAAAAAACCGCTTTTTATTTATTAAGACTTTACCCTGATTAAACTCTTTGTCAAAATGGCACGAAGTGATGAAGCTATATAATAGTATAATTGTAATCCACTCATAAGAGGTTTTGTCATTTTTCTTTTCTTTTATAGCTTAGTGTTTTGATATCAAGTTTATATTCCTGATAAGGCAACACCAATTTGCAATAATCTTCAGGCTAGTTTTTGCTCAATTGTCTTGATGAATGACAGCCATTTTTCTTTTGCAGCTCATTCTGGCAACGGTTCCAGATCATGTGAATAGTACATCACCAAGAATTGTGTCGGAGGACAACATTAGGTTTCTGTTTGAAATACAGAAAAAGGTACGGATTCCATCTTATTGCACTTGTACTTCTGAAATATTTTGATCATTATGTTGCATTGAGGGTGTTGCTGTCAGGTTGATGCAATTCGTGCTAATTATTCTGGCTTGATGGTATCTCTCAAAGACATCTGTATGAAGCCACTAGACAAAGATTGTGCCACTCAAAGTGTCCTGCAGGTATAATTATTGATTTTCAGCCAGAGAACTTTAATGTTTCATTATCTTTGTTATATATTTACATGATTTTAGCTTTTATGATTAGCAATTTTTCTCTTTCTTGATTGACAGTACTTCAAAATGGATCCCAAAAATTTTGATGATTATGGAGGAGTTGACCATCTCAATTACTGTTTTGAGGTACTGAATGTTAACTTTTCATCTTGAAGTTGATTGTAGTTGTATAAATTCTTAATTCTACTGTTGTTTTGTGTGTTCAAGTGAAAGACAATTCCCAAGACCTCCTGCTGTATTGTACAATTATGTACAGCAATCAATGATGTCTTTTTCTTCATGCTTTTAAGTTCTTGCATAGAGCAATTGGAGATGTAGAACCATGGCAAGTACTGGGAATTCTTTCTTGGTGTATTTGTACTAAATTTTAATTTTTATACGACACAGGGAAATCAAATGGTTGATATATCAATTTTTTATACTTCATTTTGCACATTGCATCAAATCTATTTGTTCTTTGCCTAACCAATGGGAAACACCCTTGCTTCTTTGTCTTATATGATTGATATGTCATTTTCTTGTTCTTACTATAGTGGCATCGACATGAAGCTTTATCCTTGATTCATACAGTAATGGTGATGTGTATATAATATGGATTTGACTCCCTTATAGGGACAAGGTGCACTTTAGAGGATAAAGTATATTTATATACATTGATTAGAAAATTAATGGTTGAGATTATGATAAGATACAAGTATCACAAACTTTGAAGTTGTTAAAATATCAAGCCTTGATTTTCTTATCAATGGTTATATATGCAATTATGCACTTTATTCTCTAAAATACACCTCACTTTAGAGGAGTCTAATCTATATATAATATAATTTCAGAATCACCTAATTATTTTTTAATGTTGTGTTCATTCAGCATTATTCCTCAGCAGACCAATGTATGAGTGCATTTAAAGCTCCTCTTGATCCAAGTACTGTATTAGGAGGTTTTTCTGGCAATGATTATTCTGGGGTACTCTCTCTTTTCTTCTATGTTGCAAATGATTTGGATTTTATTGGGCATATGGTAACTATAATGCGATTTTATTTAAGACAGGCATCTGCGTTTATTGTAACATATCCGGTAAATAATGCTATTAATGAAGAAGGTAATGAAACCAGAAAGGCAGTTGCTTGGGAGAAGACCTTTATTCAGTTGGTGAAGGTTAGTATCTTGATTTTATGCTTGTCTTCCTTTTACTGACTACTAAGTCGTATCTTTACAGTCATTAGACCTGTATATGGGCCACAGCTTAGACACTAGTCCTGCACAGTGAATCAACTGTAAATAGCTATGGTTGCCAACTTGCTTCAGCAGAAAATTACTGGTCAAGGTTGCTACAATTTCTCATCCATCCCTAGCAAGTACTTTATCCGGGTTTGATACCTGGTGACTATTAGTACTCACACTTAGCTTAATTTACACATCCCATAACTGGGTCCTAGGTCTTCCTCTGTGAAAAGAACAAAAAAGATTTTCTTCTTCTTCTTCTTCTTCTTCTTCTTCTTCTTCTTCTTCTTCTTCTTTATTTTTCATATTCGTCTTCTTCTTTCATTCTCTTCTTCTATTTCTTCCTCTATGGAAGGCTAATATGTAACATTCTCGAACTCAGTATTAACACACCATTGAGGTTTGTTCATTTCAATGTATCTTCGTGTTCTAATCCTTCTTGTCTCAATGCTTAATGGTTTCTTGTTCAACTGGATTGAATGGCTCTGCTCATGGTTTGCGTAATCCCATGAATAAAGATAGGAATGTATGCTAATGCTTCATTTGTATACATTTGATAATGGTAATAACGCTTAGTGATTATTAGAAAATGAACCAAGCAAAAGTCCGGCTGGGCGAGTATAAATAACTCGATTGAACAAACTCGTCACTGATCGGTTAAATCCCGACTTGGTGAGTATAAATAACTCGAAGAACTCGTAAATAACTCGATTGAAAGAACTCGTCATTGATTTTGAATTTAGAAGATAGAAAAAATCTCATTTATTTCACTTTCGCAATCGGTATTTGGCCGATTGATTCGTTGGCTTTGAAGCTGGAAAACTTAGGAAAAATTTCATTCATTTATCATCTCCGCAGTCGGAATTCGCCGACTGATCCGTTGAATTTAGAAGATAGAAAAAATCTCATTTATTTCACTTTCGCAATCGGTATTTGGCCGATTGATTCGTTGGTTTCGAAGTTGGAAAACTTAGGAAAAATTTCATTCATTTATCATCTCCGTAGTCGGAATTCGCCGACTGATCCATTGATTTTGAAGTTAGAAAAAATCTCATTCACGTATCACTTTCGCAGTCGGTATTTGGCATTCTAACTCGGTATTTGGATGAGTAGTTGATTTGATATTCAATTTTTAACTTGGAGAAAATTTCTGTATCGTTCTACTCGGCGTTTGAACGAGAGGTTTATTTAATATTCATTTTAACTCGGTATTTGGACGAGTAATTGATTTGATATTCAATTTTTAACTTGGAGAAAATTTCTGTATCGTTCTACTCGGCGTTTGAACGAGAGGTTTATTTAATATTCATTTTAACTCGGTATTTGGACGAGTAATTGATTTGATATTCAATTTTTAACTTGGAGAAAATTTCTGTATCGTTCTACTCGGCGTTTGAACGAGAGGTTTATTTAATATTCATTTTAACTCGGTATTTGGACGAGTAATTGATTTGATATTCAATTTTTAACTTGGAGAAAATTTCTGTATCGTTCTACTCGGCGTTTGAACGAGAGGTTTATTTAATATTCATTTTAACTCGGTATTTGGACGAGTAATTGATTTGATATTCAATTTTTAACTTGGAGAAAATTTCTGTATCGTTCTACTCGGCGTTTGAACGAGAGGTTTATTTAATATTCATTTTAACTCGGTATTTGGACGAGTAATTGATTTGATATTCAATTTTTAACTTGGAGAAAATTTCTGTATCGTTCTACTCGGCGTTTGAACGAGAGGTTTATTTAATATTCATTTTAACTCGGTATTTGGACGAGTAATTGATTTGATATTCAATTTTTAACTTGGAGAAAATTTCTGTATCGTTCTACTCGGCGTTTGAACGAGAGGTTTATTTAATATTCATTTTAACTCGGTTTTTGGACGAGTAGTTGAATTAATATTAAACTTTTAGCTTGGGGAAGTTCGTGGAAATTTTCTAGTCGATGGAATTTCTCTAGTCGGCGCTTAGACAATTAAGTTAAGCGAGATTCTTTTTAACTTAGATAAATTGGTGGAATTTCATCATTACTCAGCAAGTCACTCAATTGATATCAAAGACAACACATACCATAAAAAAAAAAAAACTAAGAGTCACAGTAGTCCATACAAACGATCAACAAAATACATAGAAATATAAAGGAAAAAGCAACATTATAAGGCAACACTCAGTCATCCTCGGGGGGATCAACCAGCTCACCATTCACAATCTCCTTAAAGTAACCCATTCCACCAATATCGAGATCGGCATACAGGAATCTTATCTGGGAAGTAGCTGCGTCAAAGCCTTGAACAAATTTTGTCAAGGAGTCCACCTTCGCGGCCTGCAGGTCATGATGAAGTTTTTCCACCTCAAGCTTCATCAGGGACAAGTCGTTCTCAAAAACACTAGCAGCGTCAGTTGACTTGCCCCGAGCCATCCGCATCTCGGCCAACTCGCCCTCCATCGCAACCTTCTCGGCAGCCCAAGCTTGTTTCTCTTCTTCGAAGGCGCGACGGCCCTCCAATAATTTGTCCCGCTCGTTGGCCACCCACTGGAAGTCAGCTCGACTCTTAGTCAGACCATCCTCCAAAGAAGCGATTTTCTTTCCTTGCAACTTAGTCTCCTTCACCAAGCCGCGAATTTTATCTTCATTCACCAATGAGAGAGCCGAAAGACGATTGGTGAGGGACTCGACGCCTTTGGCGATAGTGAAAGCACTCATTTTCTCCAGATCGTCTCGGTCACCTTCAAGCAAGTCGGTCCCGCGAATGTGAGCACTGTGGTTGAACTTTTCATCCCAAGGAAGCCACACCACGGTTGTCTTCATAATTCACCGGTTCCCAATTCTCGCCGAGACAATCGCTCAGGGTCCTCTCGGCAGATTGAACCTCGGCGTCACCCTTGCCCGCCTTAGCGGCCACGATCGTCTCCAGGTTAACCACCGATATGGGCCTATCAGCCTCGCGATGGTGCTTTTGAGGAGTCTCACCAATAGTCCTCGACTTGACCACCGGATTGCTGGCCTCCACAACCTTCTCGGAAGCCGACTCGCCGACTGCAACAGCTTGGGAAACCCTTTGCTGTTTCCAGAGTTTCATCATTTCCCGGTTGCTCATGCTAGCCATTCTTGCTGCAAAAGGAAATCAACGAACAAGTCAAATGAGAAAAAGACTTCAAGTAAAAGAAGGAAATTATTAAATCTAAAACAACAATATACCTATATGAATTTTCAATTCCTGAGGTCTACTCTCTAGATCTAGGAGTTTTCCCGTATTGAAAAAGGTTTTCAAATCTTCAATTTTCTTAACGTCGACCAGGTCGTTCTCGGAAAGCTTCTCAGGACTTAGCCCTCCGAATGCTATCGTTTTCTGGTTCCAGTACAAAGGGAACCCTTCTAACACATCTTCGTGACCCGGTACACTACGCACTCGGAAAAAGGATTTTTTGAAATCTTTGTAGGACGATTGAAATAAGGACAACAAGCCCCGACCCGAAACCCCACTAACGGATACCCAACTAGTGCGTTTACTAACCCTGCTCTCAAAAAAATAAAAAAATTTATCTGTAGTCGGCGTTATTCCGAGTCCCTCACACAATATCTCAAACCCTCGCACAAAGGCCCAACTATTGGGATGTAGTTGGGTCGGGGCGACACCCAAAACTCGAAGTACCCCCTTTTCACAGTCGGTTAAGGGCCATCTCACCCTAATTTTGGAAATAAGAGTGGTATAGCAGAATGTAAATTTTTCGGTTGAGAGCGAACTAATACATACTGGTTCCTTATCGACACAAGGTTCACACACGACTACCTCATCCCCGTCACGATAGACTACATGGTCTCTGCAAAAGGTATCCATGGCTTCCCAAGAATTAATCATAGACTCACACTTTAATGCATCATCTTTAACCCATTTATACATCTCCCCATAACCCACAACAGCCATTGCAAATGTAATCTTTGTTTAACCTATAACTTAAAGGCTTGCAAGAAAAACCACTAGAAAGGTGGAATAAATATATGCGTACCTAAAGATTTCTCTCACAACTTCACCCACTAAGAACAAGCCCAAAACCACCGCGAGCCGCCGTAAATTAAAGAGGAGCAGCAAACCACCGCCGGAGAAGAAAAGAGCGTGAAGAGGGAAATGCAAAAGGTTCAAAAAAATAAGGGGTCATTCCTATTTATAGAGGCCAAGAGCCGCGCGTGAGAGGATACACCCAAGGGTCACGACGAGCGTGAGGGGGTGTGCCCAAAAGCCACGACGCGCGTGGGATACTAAAACATTTAATACCCCGTAACAAGAGCCGCCACGTGGCACCACCTTTATTCATGCCTCTGCAACGCCGACTTCGCAATAAAAGCATGTCCCATCTCGAGTAAGGTGAAGAGACACAACTTGTCAGAATGTGCACCGTCTCGGTTGTTCGCCGACGATAATCTCGGTTTGGTCCCGAGGTACCTTCTCGCATAGTTCCCGACGCGTACTCTCGGTCCATTTCTGAAATTACCCACAAACATTTGCTTTAGCCTTTTCGCCTATTAGGCTCAAGGCTGGAAGGCAAGTGTACCGTCCCGGCTAACCGCTGAGACGTTCTCTCGGTCTAGTTCCGGAACAATTTGTTATTATAATTGTACCGTCCCGGCTAACCGCCGAGACGTTCTCTCGGTCTAGTTTCGGAACGACCCAAGCGCGCCGTCCAGGTAAAGGCCCGACGTGATCTCTTTTGGACTGGAAGCCTCTCGGCCCACAACCGAGCTGGCCTCTTTATGTGAGCGCCGAGACATTCTCTCGGTCTAATTTTGAAACACCCAGGAACGATTGCTTTTAGCCTTTCCGCCTAATGGGCTCAAGGCTGGAAGGCAAGTGTACCGTCCCGGCTAACCGCCGAGACGTTCTCTCGGTCTAGTTTCGGAACGACCCAAGCGCGCCGTCCAGGTAAAGGCCCGACGTGATCTCTTTTGGACTGGAAGCCTCTCGGCCCACAACCGAGCTGGCCTCTCTATGCGAGCCAACTCACTCCTAGCCCGACTCTACTCGCCTATAAAGGGGCCAATTGGTTATGGCCCGATTGGATCTTGGGAAACAAGCCGACTCGGTCCTAACACATGTCTACTCGCC